ACTTATGATATAAATCTGTAATCATATATGAAATCAATTTAATTGCAAAACTAGTCATTATATGGATTTTTCTTGTAATATGTCTGGAATAACTATTCTCCCCACATATTTCTCTTTTAATCATCATTAGAAAAGGAAAAAGTCATTAATCTCACAGAATTAGATTCTGCGAAAAGAGGATAATTATCATCGGGAAGATAACCATCTACTTCTAGTCCAATTAAAGAGGTTATAACAGTAGGACTATTTAAGATTGCAATATTAGGGTAATAAACTGAATTTGAAGAAATTAAAATGGGTATTTCAAAGCAGTTCGTATTCAAATCAAGCCCTTTGAATATAATTGTCGATTAGTATGCCCCACTTAAATATATTCCGCTAAATACATAAAAAATTTCATCGTTATAGGTTTTAGTTCCAACTGTTAACAAGTTGTTGGAACTATGAGTCCAGAATCTTTACTCAAGAACTGTAAATGACGAATCTAATTTAACAAAATATGATTATGCTTTGCTTCCTGAAAGATATATATTTCCCATTGAATCACTAGAAGCTGAAGCACTACTTATGGAAGTAGAAGAAGTAAAAATTATTTCTATATTGGTAACGCTTGATAAATCAGATTTATTAATTACATAGCAAATAAGCTTATTTGGAGATGAATTTTAGATATAGGGAACAAGAAATTTATCTGTACCATAAAATGATGGAATACCATAAGAATCAGCTTAGCCACTGTCTAGCTTTGATTTTTTAATCAACAATCCATCTGATAATCTAAATTGAAAAATGATTTCATCATTAACACCACCATGACTAAATTAATAAAAAAATCCATTTGCTGAATCAACAAGAAAATTGCTAGTAATGTATGTTGAACTACTTTAATAAAACTTAAAAAAATCCAAAGTAAAATCACTATCATCAAATTTAAGGCCCGCAAAGTTCGATTTACTAGAATCACTGTATTTCTATAAAACCAAAACTTTGCTTCCAGTTATTTATTAGACTAATAATGGAGTTTGTGTTGAAGGAGAGTATCTACTTAAAGGTAGATTTTTAAGATACACAACTTATCCAGAATTTTGTTGCAATTTTATTAAAATAGGTGAAGAGGCAATTTCAGGATAGTAATTATTTTTAGCAGAGCAGAGTCCATAAATATAAGTTGAGTATTGGCTAATATGAAAGCATTCACTAGCAGTAACTGGAGTTATTTCAGATTCTACTCGGTATATCCAATAAGGTTTAGATCTCTGATCCATTGAAGTTAAAAATCCTCTACCAATACTTAAATCCCCTGATTATCCAAATGGAGAATTAGTCCCTTATCCTGCTAGCAGAAAATTTCCAAACTAATCAATGTCAAAGAAATTAGTTTTAACTTAAAATGTATGTCCATAATAAAACGGATAGATATTTAAAGTGCAATTGCTTAGATCATGGTTAGGAATCTAAGGATCTAGGATATATTTTTTCGGAGGAAGACCTATCAATCTTATGAATGAGGAGATTAAATCGCCTGAGTATAAAGCAGTAACTTTTAAATATCTTAACCCGACATAATCAGTCTAATCTGTATCTAAAAACTTTACATAGAGAGTACTCAATGATTAACTAAATTCAAACTTGGTTGAATCAAGAGCAGCTCCTGTCTATTATGTAATTGATTAAATTTTATAAGATTATCCCAAGCAAGTCTAAACTCCTATTGTATAAGCAATATTTTAGCCAGTTTAACTGTCAAAATCATACACTAATTCAGAAGGATTGAATATAATTGGAAGTCTGCAAGAATAGAGAGAATTTATATCTCTCATAGCATAATAATATGAAGCAGGTTAAGCTGAATCAACTAATCCTGAATCAGCTGTATTTAACATTAGAGTTTCTATTGTAGGATTAAAAAGTAAAGTAGTAGAACTAGTTGAGCCTGAAATTTCACCAGACAAAAATGCTGATACAGCAGGATTAGTAAAATTAACACAACTTTGTTTAGTATCCGAGAGTATATCTGAGGAAGCAAAAACTATCAACTATATAAGATTATATTAAACCACGTTGATTAAAACATACTCTTGATGGATATAATGTCGATAGGTATTGTTGATTTTGAAAAGCATAAACTAATTAACCTGACCCGATTTACCTCAAGAATAGTTTTGCAGAAATAATTGGTGATGAGCTACCTTTTTAAATGAGTCTGCTTGTTAAAATTTATCCATTATTAGGAATTACATTCAGTAAAAGAATTTGAACTATATACTATAAAAGAAGCTAATAACACTTACAATTGTTTTAGATTCCTGAAATAAAGAGATTACCTTGAGAATTAATCTCGAATTCTACTGATTGAAGTATTAAACTAGAAATGTAATTTGAACTAAGAGTATTTGTTGAAGTTTGGCCAACTTAAAATGATAAGTTGTCTGAAATGTCTATTTAACAGAGAGTTATCCATTAAGTCATGTCACTTGTTAGCCTTATGGAGCCAATAATTGTAGATGGCATACTATTACTCCAAGTAGCTTCAGTTTGATAAGTAGCATCACTTTTTTATATTTAGTTTACGATAAATTTAAAGGTTGAAGAATCAGTAAAAGCTAAGCTAAATTTCCATAAAGATGTTAGATCTATTTAGAAATCCATATCATAATAGTTTATTCCTATTTTTTGAGATGATCCGTGTATTCTAGACAACCATTAAGTCTATAGATTTTAATCCAATCTTACAATCATTCCTTCACTTTAAGAATAGGAGAAGTAATTGGTATTCAAGTTAATCATAAGATAGATGTCGCTGTTAGTGTCAACATGAACTTTGACATTACTGATAGTTCCTTAACTATACATATCATCAAAATTAAGGGAGGTTAATTCGTTTCCAGTAGCAATATCTATTTTTGTCATTCTCAAAATAGATGCACTTAAGATGATTGCATAAACAGTATTATCTGAAATAACTGGAGAGAGAAAATTTGCAGGTGGATTACTTTAAAATATTTTCATCCATTTTACATTCCCTATAAGATTAATTAATTTATTAATTACCATCAGATTAAGTATATTAGATATATGGAATTATTCCGTGTTAAGAATGTATAAGACAATCACTGACTGATAAGGAATTGTCAACTCTTCCAGTTATAACTAAGTTTGCGCTAGAGTCTGCATAAAACCCATCAAATATAATGTCTTTGGTGCATTCGGATTCTGAACCTCCAAATATCAGAGGATAAAACAATGTATTTGACGAGCATGCGTTGGATGTAAGTAACCCTAAATGTTATTAAATTGAGTATTGGAATAAATATTTATACTTTTGCTGAATCCAGAGAATTCTTCTTAAATTTCACTTTAGTAGGAATATTGTTAGAATTGGTATTTTGAGTAAGATTGCATATCAAGCTATAATTCGTCACTTGTGTAATGCAATCTATATTTTTCTGTGTCTAATTATCCTTCTGTTGCCATTTAAGCAGCCTGTAAATATAAATATAGAAAACATACACTTATTTAATCTGCTTCACTTTTAGCTACTCTACTAATGCAAGAATAGAGCAACAAATGAAACATGAACATGATTTTTGAAAATATTGGAATACTAATTTCCATCTATAAAGATTAAAAATATAGAATATGAACTTATCAAACTAAGTTATAATTCTTACTATTCAAAGTTAAAATTTATGATTGTAGCATTTGAAATTAACTTTCGGATTAAAGTGGGAATTAATTCATTAAAATATTATTAATCTTTTGAAATGATAAATCTAAAGGTTAATTTTTAATTTAGGATTATGTATACTGGTAAATTCTTGAAATTAATTACTTTCGGGGTTTTGGGGTTTTGGGGTTTTGGGGTTTTGGGGTTTTGGGG